CGGCTGGCCCAGAGCCGGCCCCAAGGCGCCCTGGCGCCTGGCGAGCTCTGGGGAGCCTCGGGGCGGACCAAAGCCGGCGGGGGCCGCTGGGACGAGGTGCCCAATGCCTTCCGCTCAGGGAAGACGAGCCTCAGACGCTGCAGGGGCGAACCCACCCACACCGCGAACCCACCCCAAGCCAGGCCAGAGGAAGAGTGAGAGAGAGTTAACAGGGCAAGAATAAGTCCTCCGAAACCGTACCCCTAAAAAAAAAAAAAAAAAAGCCAACTTCACTCTTGAGAATACAGCACCCTCTTGATGTGCCACCCTCCCCTCTGGGCCACCCCACTGTCATCTTGGCCTCTGATTGGCAAGATTTATCTTCTCCTTTCACAGCCACCACTGGGAGGGAAGGGCTTGTCTCTGTCTGGCTGCGTGAACTTGGCCAAGTCACTTACCCTATCTGTGAGGGCAGGACTCCCCTATGCAAGGTCCTGTCAGCCCTCCAGTTCTATCATGCTTTGGGGTCCTGTCACTCTCTTCCCAAATGCCTTTTAGACTTCCAGCTGACAAAGGGTAGGTACCGAATCTTCTAGCAAAACAGCATCCCCAGCAGCCATTCCTGACTAATTATGAATCGAAGGGATGTTTGTTGAACAATGTCCCCCAGAGAGATGGCTCCCCTGTTCCTTCCTGAGTGAAGGGCATCCTCATGAACATGGATTCAAGCCCCTCCACAACAGAAGCCAGACCTGTATCTTCAGTCTTGAAGGGTCCTTCATAAGGGCTGAGTGTTGAACCATAAGCACCACACTGCACCTCCAGTTGTTAAAACTGCAAATACTTCTACTGCTTGGTATTTCTCTGGCCCCCATTCCCCCATAATCTTGCAACTAGATGAGTCCATGCCTGGAGCCAGAGGCCCTCCCAGATGCTGCTCCAGAACAGTGCTCTGTTCTGACTGGCAAGTGCTCTTTGTCCTAATGCTGACTATCAGCAATCTAAGCTACAGCCGAAGATGGCCACCATTTCCCCAAGCACTGATGTCCCACCCTAAGCCTAGCACAGCTTTTCACATAAACCCTTCCTACCCTGAGTAACTCTTTTCAGGCTCTTACCACAGTCGGTCTGGATAACAGCTGCAATTTCCTCTCACCTGATGCTGTCTTTTGAGAGCAGAGCCTGGATCTAATTTGGTTCCTCTTTCTCTCCTGTAGGGGTAAGCACCCTGCCTTCCTTTTCCAGGACAGCTGCTTAGTAACTGAGACCTGGTTTGTTCAACTGCAGGCTGGAAAGGGTTTGAGAAGAAAAGCTCTGTTGGTGACAGAATTGTTAAGTACCCCATAAGCTATCTTCCCCACCAACCCCAATATACTCTCTGCAGCTTTTCCTTCTCTGGGCATCTTCCTTCCTGCAAGAACTCAGATTTAAAGAAATCTTTTGCCCTCCCTCTTTTCCTCACCAAAAGTATTTATTTCACAGCCCCCAAATCTAGCAGACTGATCATATTAAGGACCCCATAATCATTATGGAATGACTGGATGCTTCCAGATAGAATGGAACATTCATTTACCTAATAGTATAAGCTAGTATAAAGGAATCTCTCTCAGTAAAATTCAAATTCTAGATAACCAGAAAGCCTCCTAGATAACCAGAGATGAAAATTTTGGTTTTCTATAAAAGATGTTCCCCTATTCAGGATGTTGTGACAAGGAGGAACACTGCATTTCCTGTTGACTCTTACTAAGAGAAGTGATCTGACGCTGTGAATCATAGGGTCCTGTCTCCCTTCCCACCACAGCTGACTGAACAGGGGTAGCCTGTGCGTTCTAGGGCTGTCAAGCCATTTGATACCAGAAGTCCATGACTTGTACATCCTGACTAGCAGATGAGCTGGGGCTGCCAGATTTTCTCTCTTTGGGATCTGAATGAGACACTGAGATGGCCTCCAGTAAGCACTGGGTCCTGCAGAGGAGAGGTCTCCAGTCTCCTGAACTAGCCACGGAAGGGCCACATGCAGGCTGACACAGAGGAGCATGTTGGAAGAAACAGAAGAACTGACCACACTTACAGACAGAAGCCAGTTCTGGAGACTGTGCACTTCTGGACACGATGAAGGGGGGGTGGGGGGCAGCCAACAGTGAATCTCCAGGCCTGATTCCTACTCACAAGAAGCCCAGCAACACTTTCATCTAAGGTTGGGTTCCTTGAGAACTGCCTGTGTCCTTGCGATAAAACCCATTTCACTTGAGCTCATTTTAATAGCCCACTCCTGTTCCTCACCATCCCAAATCCTCATTAGAACAACATCCCAGCAATCATACTACATCCGGCCATGCATCTCCTGCCAAAAGACATTAACAAATCCAATCCCCTTTCTATGGGAAATGTTGTCCTAACATTTGGGGAAAGGAAGCATCACCCGCTCCTCACCTTCACCTCCAGCCCCAGCATCCCCAGGACAAAAGAAGCAGAATCTAGTCCAAGTCTGCAGCACAGATCTGTTCCTTCCTTTTCCTTTTTTTCAGTTGAAAATGTACTATTAGAAAACCTAGTTGTGTTCTGAATGTTTCCCTGTTCTGAGATTTCCCGATTGTACTTGATGCCCAGAAATTTTGTTCCTAGACCTCTAATGATTCCATTTCTCTGCAGTTGGGCTCAACTTGAAGTAAATTGGTAAAGTACATTAGAATCTGAACTGGTCTTGCATAGGAAAGACTACTCCCAAGGTCAGTAAATTCCATGACTAATGGTCTAACCATCCCTTAAAGAAACCAAGTTCCAAGCAAGCCCAAGATAGTAAGGATCATGAGCGATTTTCTGTTTCTGAAGAAAATGTCTCCAAGAAGGCAAAGGCAGACACAGGGTATCCACCTCGAAGGACCTTACCTGAAAAATAACCCCATGGTTGAATGCAAGAAGACTCTGTGCATCATGTAGCACACAGCGTCCCAGGTCAGTGAGGCCAAAGGTGGAAAATCGAGAGAGAGAGCAGTGAGAGAGACTCACATCATCACCAGACTAAGGTCCACTGGGACACTTAATTACCCTTTGCTCTCTACAGTGATAGTTATCAGCCCAAGCAAACATGATTCTTCCAGGGAGAATAAGTATCTTGAGGATAAAAAGGCTCTGTGAATAACCTTTATGATGTGAATCCTGAAAGTTTCAGAGCAGTGTTGAGTAAATCCTCAGGACTCCCTCTGGAAACAGCCAGACTACTGACTTGCTTTGTATGAAGAAGGTATTCTGGGGGAAAGTAGATGGGTGATTTAAAAATCATTTCTAATTGATTTTACGATTTAAACATTGTTTGAGACACTTCATCTCTGCAGTCCCCTCCAATCACCACACTGGACAATAAGGTCCAAGTCTAAGGTGGCAGCAAGCAGGCAGGCTTCTGGGTTATAGTCACAGACAGACTCTAATGCCTCTCTTCAGCCTTCCCATAATACCCTGTGCTCGGGGCGCCTGGGTGGCTCAGTTGGTTAAGCAACTGCCTTCGGCTCAGGTTATGATCCTGGAGTCCCAGGATCGAGTCCCGCATCGGGCTCCCTTCTCGGCAGGGAGTCTGCTTCTCCCGCTCCCGCTCCCCCCTCTTGTGCTCTGTCTCTAAAATAAATAAATAAAATCTTTAAAAAAAAAAAATACCCTGTGCTCGTGCCATTCATTATATTTTTCACAATTTTCCAAATTTGTTGATTTATTTGTTGTGTTTTCCATGCATGATCAACTCCTCAGGAGCCCAGGATTTAGCAGAGAGCCAATAAGCAGGGATGAAAAAACAAGTTTACTGAAAAAGTAACATATCATTGTCCTTATTTCTCATAGAGGAAATATATC